CTTTTTACCTTTGATATTTCATGGACAACCTCTTAAGACAGTCAAATAAGTGAAATAAGTTTAATAAGTCAAATAATTCAAAAAACCTCTGAGACAGCCCAGGTGGGCCCAGACCACCTTTTCTAGTATAAACCTTTGCAGGTCAGTGGTTATTTCGCCAAACTATAAAAATCATATCAAAGCTCACCCTTAAATTAAAATCATATCATAGCTCACCCTTAAATTAAAATTATATCATAGCTCACCCTTAAATTAAAATTATATCATACCTCACCCTTAAATTAATTTTTTCAGGCTTTCTAGGGTATCTTAAAAAGAATTTATATTATTTCTTTTACATTTACAAGCACCTCGCCATGGGTTTGCTCCCCTTTTACAACAGATTTTTGTGGTTGCATGGAAAATTCACCACTGCCTGGAAAATCCACCCAAGCACCACGAGCACCCCACAGGTATCACATGCACAGTCACATCACAACGATTCATCGTTTCCCTACGCAACAACACTAGATTGAAACCTCCCCTGAAGGGCAGGAAAATGTAGGCAGAGGTGCTTGATTTGGGAAATAATTCCTACAACGAGCTTCCAGTGGAGCGCCGTGGTGCTGAGGGCAGTGAGTTCAGTCGCCCAACTCGATTAAAATCTCTCCAATTCGGAATTCCCCTCCCCATTTTTGTGGGTTTACAATCATTTTTTCCAGTTTGGAGTAAAAAAAAAACCCAACACCTGTTTTCTGTCCCCTGCCACTGAGTGAAAACCCCTTTTCTAACGGGAAAATGAGTCAGGTGGTGCCTGGGCAGGGAGGTTTCAGTGGGTGGCACAGGCTCAGTCCCCGGGGAGCGCCTGAACCTGCCTGCCCAAGCGGAACCTGGGGAGCACAGGAGTGGAAAACAACCACCTGGATCAGAGTCAGCCAGGGCACCAGCTGTTCCCGTGGAAGATAAAGGGCAACCCCCGGGAGAGAGGGGAAAAAAACCCCCACAACAAAGAAACAAACCCCTTCCTCGAGCAGCTGCAGGAAGGAAAGCCGGTGGCGACGGGGAGGTGGGTTGGGCAGTTGGGGGGCGGCTTTTTGGGGGTTCTCTGGGGTGAACTCGAGCACCAGGAGAGGAAAACTCCTCCACTCGTTGTAAACAACGAGCTTCTCGCAGAGGAACTCGTCAGGAACTTGTTTCCAGCTACACCCTGGCTCCTCTGGGACTGCCCCGTGCCGAATTCCGGGCTCGGCCGAAGGGAAAACAGATGGGTGCAATTATGGAATAACAGGTGAGCAGCAACAGCCACAACGGGCCAAAAGCTCGTGTTTCAGGTGAGTTGCAAGGTGAGGGAGAAAAGCAGTCCCTTCTTAAAAGTCTGGGCTCATTGCTATAATCATTAAAGGGGTTTGAGTGGGGTTTTTGTTTTTCTTTTAAAAGACCTGTTGGAGGGTAAGCCTGGCACGTTCTGTGGCACTGACCTGCCACACTCTCATCGCTGGGGGGGCCCTGAAAAACCTCATCTCCTTTTTGCCTCTCTGCTCTACAAGTTATCTGTGGAATGGTCTAATCTTGCTGCAAGTTTTAGGACCTCTCACACAGCGGAAACACAACCCCAGCAGCACCATGGCTGGAGAATCACCACCTTCTTTCTAGAGACTTCTCAATGAAAGGAAAATAAGATCTGCTTTGCCCGCTTTCAGTTGTGGTCTGACTCAACAGGAGAAAAAAAGGGATGTTTTTTACATCCTCACGTGACTAAGAACGGGCATTTTAAGGTCACGACCCTCCAAGGGCAGACCCACAAATGAAAGTTCTTCAGGATGTTCCTCCCGAGCTTCTGAATGTTCAGGTGCTCATTCAGTGACCAAACTGAAAGCAGGGACACGAGTAAACGTCTGATGGTGAGTGATGGGCAGTATGGGGAATTTAATTGCTTTGCAGGGGAAGAAAACCCTCCTAAAAATCCCCATATATAATGGGGGACTCCATTATTGTGACAGATACTCAAACATGAGGACAGGCTTTATCAGAGTTTGCATTTTCCTTCCAGTGTAAGGCATAAAGGTACAAACTCTTTATCACCTGTGGGATTTTACTTGTTTAGAATTGACCTGTGAGAGGTGCTCTGACTGTAATTCTTCAAAAGTTCATCAGGCTTTCACCCAATCTCCAGTTCTTTAAAGTGCCCTCAGGACTCAGCAACTTCAGTGGCATCAAAAAGCCAGATTTTTCTGTGTATTAAAATGCGACAAGATCATAGATTGTCCCAGAATTACACTGAAAAAAAACCTGGGATATGGAATCCCACTTCAAATAAATCCATTCCAAAACTTCTGTCCAGGCACATTATCACAAAAAAAAAAAAAATAATAATAAAAAAGTTATTTTTGCTAAAAGCAAACATTTTTTCTACATGTTAGACGTGCTTTTCTCAGCAGTGTAGTTATTAAAACTAATTAGAAGCACAGTGTTAGAATTATGGAATGGTTTGGGTTGGAAGGGACCTCAAAGCCCATCCAGTGCCACCCCTGCCATGGGCAGGGACACCTTCCACCAGCCCAGGTTGCTCCAAGCCCCGTCCAACCTGGCCTTGGACACTTCCAGGGATCCAGGGGCAGCCACAGCTTCTCTGGGCAACCTGGGCCAGGGCCTCCCCACCCTCCCAGCCAGGAATTCCTTCCCAATATCCCATCTAACCCTGCCCTCTGGCAGTGGGAAGCCATTCCCTGTGTCCTGTCCCTCCACCCCTTGTCCCCAGTCCCTCTCCAGCTCTCCTGGAGCCCCTTCAGGCCCTGGAAGGGGCTCTGAGTTCTCCCTGGACCCTTCTCCAGCCTGAACTGATCCCCACCCTCTCAGTCATGTCAGGCTTAAACCTGCCCCGGGCTGGATTTGTGCCTTCGAGTGTCACCCCGGCAAACGCAGACCAGGAGAGAGGAGGGAGGTGAATCCCAATAAAGAGCCCCAGTAAAGCCCGTGGGTGACACTGTGGCACTCCTGGTGGGGCGGCTAAGCGGGTTCCCTAAAGAACCTTACTCCAATCCTGTTTTTACATCATCGCTTCGCTTTCAGTCTGGAGCAAGAGCAGCATCTAGTGCTCGAACCCTGCCCTGCACGCTTCCCGCTGCTTCCCATCCACGCCAGGCTTCCTATTTCCGTGGCAACGACCGCCTGAGCCGGTCCCCATGCGGGAAACAACGCCCCGAACCGGGACCGGCTCCGCGAAGCTCTTACAAAAAAAAAAATAGGTGGAAGAATTAAAGAGAGGAGGAGCTGAACCATTCCCGAGAGCTGAGCGAGAGAGCGACAGGCAGAGCTGCCCACCTGGGGTTTCACCTGGAATGTCCTTTGCCTCGGGAAGGGTTTGGATCTGGTTTATCCGAGGGACAGAAGTAGCTCGGTGCGTCCCGGGGATCCCTCCGGGTCAGAGCAGAGCAAAGCCCGGGAGGGGAGAGCAGCTGAGGTTGAGTCCCTTAACTTGTGGGATGCTCCAGTCACTCTCCTGAAGGATGGGATGGGTGTGGGTGAGGCAGGGGCAGCCCCTGGAGATCCACAGGGAGCAGAGATCCACCTGCAGCCCCTGGAGATCCACAGGGATAAAGAGATCCACCTGCAGCCCCTGGAGATCCACAGAGAGCAGAGATCCACCTGCAGCCCCTGGAGATCCACAGGGGTAAAGAGATCCACCTGCAGCCCCTGAAGGAGCCCCGTGGATCAGGGGGATGTCCAAAGGAGGCTGTGACTCTGTGGGAAGCCCATCCTGGAGCAGGGGCATGGCAGGAGCTGTCGATCCATGGAGAGAAGAGCCCAGGCTGGAGCAGGAAGGACTTGTGACCCCATGGAAGGGACTCACACTGGAGCTGTTCATGAAGGACACTGGGTGCACAGGGACACTGTGGGGACAGGAACACCAAGGGTAGAGGGACACCAGGGGCACAGGGACACTGTGGGCTCAGGGACACCGGGCAAAGGGGCATTGGGCAATGAGGGACACTGTGGGCACAGGGACACCGGGCAAAGGGGCATTGGGCAATGAGAGACACCGTGGGCACAGGGACACTGACAGGGACACCAAGGAGCATGGGGACACCACGAGGACAGTGGGCACAGGGACACCGCAGTCACAGTGATAATGAGGGGACAGGAACACTGGGGACACAGGGACACCACAGAGACACTGTGGGCACAGGGACACTGACAGTGTCACCAAGGGGCACAGGGACACCACAGGAACATCAGGCACAGAGACACTGGTGGCACAGTGACACTGGTGGTGACACCGCAGGCACAGGGACACTGACAGTGTCACCAAGGGGCACAGGGACACCACAGGAACATCAGGCACAGAGACACTGGTGGCACAGTGACACTGGTGGTGACACCGCGGTGACACTGAGACAGGTGACATTGAGGGCACAGTGACACAGGTGGCACAGTGACACTGGTTGTGACACCGCAGTGACACCGAGGGCAGGTGACACTGAGGGCACAGGGACACTGGTGGTGACACCGCGGTGACACCAAGGGCAGTGACACTGAGGGCACAGGGACACTGGTGGTGACACCGCAGTGACACCAAGGGCAGGTGACACTAAGGGAACAGGGACACTGGTGGCACAGTGACACCGGTGGTGACACCCCGGTGACACCGAGGGCAGTGACACGGGTGGCACAGTGACACCGGTGGTGACACCGCAGTGACACCGAGGGCAGGTGACACTGAGGGCACAGGGACACTGGTTGTGACACCGAGGGCAGTGACACTGAGGGCACAGGGACACTGGTGGTGACACCGCGGTGACACCGAGGGCAGTGACACTGAGGGCACAGGGACACTGGTGGCACAGTGACACCGAGGGCAGGTGACACTGAGGGCACAGGGACACTGGTGGTGACACCGCGGTGACACCAAGGGCAGTGACACACCCAGGCCCCGCCCCGAGGAACTACAGCTCCCAGCGTGCCCCGCGGCAGCAGCGCCATCACGGGGCGGGGCCTCCCCGCGCCTGCGCCGTGCGCGGTGACCCTGAGCGGCGGCGGGGCAACATGGCGGCGGCGGCGGCCCTGAAGGTGAAACTGGGGGGCCTGGGGGCAACAGAGGCATCCCCGCCCCTCACCCCCGCACGGGGGTCTCCAGCCTCGCCCCAGGCCCCGAGCGCCGCGCTGACCCCGCCGCTGTCCCCCTTTCCCTCTCCAGGTGCGGCAGCTAAGCACGACGGCGGCGAGGCCGGTGTCCAAACTGGTGAAGGTGAGGGGGCGGCGGGGGCGTGAGGGGGCAGTGGAGGTCCGAGCTGGGCAAGGTGAGGGGGCAGGAGTGGTCGTGAGGGGGTAGGGGGAGTCCTCACGCTGACTGAGGTGAGGGACTAGAGGGGAGGTCGTGAGCGGGTCAGGGGGGGTGTCCAGGATGGTGAAGATGAAGGGGAGCAAGTGGGAGGGGGCGGTTCTCCAGCCTGGTCAGAGCGAGGAGTTGGGGGGGTTTCCAGGCTGGTCACAGTAACAGGTGACAGGGGAGTCTCCAGTGTGGTCAAGGTGAGGAGCTTGGGGGGGGTCTCCAGGCTGGTCAAGGTGAGGAGTTGGGGGGGTTTCCAGGCTCGTTAGTATGAGGGGGTGGGGAGGTCTCCAAGCTGGTCGAGGGGAGGAGTTGGGGAGGTTTCCAGGATGGTCTGTGTGAAGAGGTGGGGGGGTCTCCAGAGTGGACAAGGTGAGGAGTTGGGGGAGTTTCCGGGCTGGTTTGTATGAGAGGGTGAGGGGTCTCCAAGCTGATCCAGGTGAGGAGTTGGGGAGGTTTCCAGGCTGGACAAGGTGAGGAGTAGAGGGGGTCTCCAGGCTGGTCAAAGCGGTGGCTGACAAGGGGTCTCCAAGCTATGTGGTCTATGTGAAGAGTCGGAGGGGTCTCCAGGCTGGTCAAAGTGGCAGGTTTGGGGGGTCTCCAGGCTGGTGAAGCCGAGGGACAGGGGGCTCTGTGCCCCCCAGGTGCCCCCTCTCAGCACCCCCCCGTTCTCCCCGCAGCCGCCCATCCAGGTGTACGGGCTGGAAGGACGCTATGCCACCGCCCTGTACTCTGCAGCCAGCAAGCAGAAGAAGCTGGAGCAGGTGGAGAAGGAGCTGACCCGGGTGTGGGTAAGGTGTTCCACAGCCGGAGATCCCTGGGCGTGGGAGCAGGGGGGGTTTCCCCTTCTCCTCAGGAGGGGGGTGGGCTTGGCTCCTGCAGCCTCTGAGACTCCCAGTCCCCTGGCACATGTGCTGCCTGCCTAGTGCCCCAGTGTTTCAGTGGGATATTGGGAAGGAATTCTTGGCTGGGAGGGTGGGGAGGCCCTGGCCCAGGTTTCCCAGAGAAGCTGTGGCTGCCCCTGGATCCCTGGAAGTGTCCAAGGCCAGGTTGGATGGGGCTTGGAGCAACCTGGGCTAGTGGAAGGTGTCCTTGCCCTTGGCAGGGGGTGGAACTAGGTCCATTTAATCTTTAAGGTCCCTTCCAACCCAAACCATTCCATGATTCTGTAGCAGCAGCTGCCCTTCCACTTCCCCTCAGCTCCAGAGCTCTTTGTTCTCACTCCAGGACTACCCGTGTTTCCTGCTCTGGCTGGTCCAGGTGGGCCTTGGAATGCCTGGAAAACTCCTGGCCTTTGTCCCATAGCTGTGTCTCCCCTCAGACCCTGCTGAAGGACCCCAAGCTGTCCAGTGTGGTGATGAACCCTCACACCAAGGGCACAGTGAAACAAAAAGCCGTGAGCGACGCCTTGGCGAGAGAGAAGATGTCCCCCATCACTGTCAACCTGATGAGTGAGTGACCCCTGGGCTCCAGGAGAACATCCAAGCCGTGCCACCCGTTGCCGTGGCTCTTGGCTGCCCGGATGTGCCCGGGGGTGCTCTGAGCCCTCGGTGCTTTGGTGTTTTCCAGACCTGCTGGCTGAGAACGGCCGCCTGCGCCACACCCCGGGCATCGTGTCCGCCTTCGCCAAGATCATGAGCGCGGTGCGAGGAGAGGTGGTGTGCACGGTCACCACGGCACAGGTGGGCTGGGAGCAGGCCCTGGGAGAGCAGGCAAACCTCTGCAGGCTCCCCCTGCTCCCTGCCATTGAAGGGCTTGCTGTGTGAGCAGCAAGGAAACGTCTCAGCCCTGCCAAGCTGGACGTCTTTCTGCAGGGAGGGTTTGGATCCCCAGCAGAGACTTGTCAAAAATTAAAGCTGTTCCTCCCATTTCAGCTTCTCAGGTCATGTTTTTCCTTCCTGTGTGTGAAGCCAGGGGGTGATTAAAACTCAGCCTGGTGTGCACATAGAGCTGCCCCTGTTCTTGGTTCATGAAATAAGGAGGGCACCAAGGTGGTTGTTGTTCCTGTGCTGCCCTTTGGTTGTCCCCGTTCCACTGCTTAATCTGCCTTCCTGGTACTCGTGTCTGTCTTCCAAAGGATCTGAGTAGGATACTGGGGTCCTTGTTCTATCATCTGAATATTTTCAAGTCCTTAATTTTCCTTCTCTTCTGTTCCTGTTTTTCAGCCCTTGGATGAGGCCAACCTGACTGAACTGAAAAGTGCTCTGAATGGGTTCCTGGCTAAGGGAGAGGTCTTGAAGCTGGAGACCAAGGTCTGGAGTTTGGACTTTATAAATAAATTTCATCAAGTTCATGTTAAGGGTTTAAAAAACCCTTTAAAAAATGATCTTAAAGATTTCACTGAATCCTGTTGCTGTTACACAGTTCTTTGCTTTCTCGTAGACATGATGATGCTTTAATTCCTAAAATCCTAACTTTGGAATGCAATGACCACAAAGTTCTCTCAAAAAAGGCTCTTTGAAGAGCTTTATTCTTTCCTTTGCTAGTGTCAGAGTTGTATCCTAGGCTAAGAAACTTTTGCTCACAGCCTTCCTGTTCAATGTTCCTTGTTTAGACTGACCCCTCGATCCTCGGCGGGATGATTGTCAACATTGGGGAGAAGTACGTGGACATGTCAACAAGGTCCAAGATCCAGAAACTCACCAAGATCATGAGAGAGTCTGTCTAGAGAGCTGTCCTGGTCATTCCCAAGGAAACCTGGCTGATGGAAACAATAAAATTCCTCCTTCTCGAGTAGATGGTGCCACGTGTTTTGATTTGGGAAGCAGCCCTGAGGGGGAGGATGCTGATGCTGCAGTGGAATTTCGTGTAGATTTCACTGAACACTCCCATGACAGGGCTTGAAAAGGTGGCTCACCCTGAGGGCAGGTGAACTTGGCTGGGAAGGACATGGAAAGAACAAAGTGGGAGCTGATAAAGGGGGTCAGTGCTGCAGAGGGTCCAGAGAAGCCTCGGATGGTCGGTCTGTTCTACCATGTCCCAAGGGAAAGGATGACAGGAAATGGCCTGAAGTTCTACCAGGGGATGTTCACCTCAGATATTAAAACCAATTTTTCCCTGCAGGAGTGGCCAGGCCTTACAATAAGTGCCCCAGGGAGGTGGTGGAGTCACTGTCTCTGCAAGTGTTCCAGAGGTGTCTGGATGAGGCCCTTGGGGACAGGGATTAGGGGTGAGCGTGGTGGTGCTGGGGGAGGGTGGGACTGGGGGATCCTGGAGGGCTCTTCCCTGATGACTGTGTGAGTCTTGGGACTGCCCCGAGCCAGGGGCAGCAGCTGGCCCCTGGCCTTGTGGAAGCTGCTGAGGTTGTGGTGGTGCCACTTGTGCAGCCTGTGCAGGGGGCTGTGGATGGCCCCGTCCTCGCGGGGTGTGCCCTGCCCCGCTCAGCTGCCTGTGCCCTGCCCCGTGCTGAGGGTGCGCTGGTGCCACTGCGTGTCCCTGCCCAAGGCCCTGAGGAGCCGCGGGGCCGAGGCAGAGCCCTGAGGGACACCCCTCGTACCCGGCCCAGCCCGGGCCATGGAGACACTGCCCACGAGTGCCTGGCACGGCCACGGGGCCGATTCCTGCTGCGCCGCCCAGCCCGGCCTGCAAAGCTGTGCCCTGTGGAGAGCGGGGGTCGTGTGGGACCGAGGGCAAAGCCCCCCAGGGCTCCGGGCACAGTGGGGGCTGCAAGGCCACAAGTGCTGGGGCTGCCCCGGGCCGGGTCCGGGCGGTGCCGCTGTCCAAGGGGGGCCGGGGGTGGCCCTTTGTGACACGGGACATGGCAGTGCCCGGAGACCCTTGTGACATCACAGAGCCCTGCCCTGCCCGTGGGGGTTTGAGGGGCACAGAGCCCGGGGGTGCCCACTCCCAGGAGAGCCTCTCTCGCAGGAGGAAGCAGCTCCAGGGATCTCTCTGCCAGAGAGGACGAGAGAAGTTTTGGAAGGAGAAGAAGACAGAGATGGACAAGCGCAACTCCCAGCCCAGCCAGGGGCAAACTCCGAGCCTGCCCAGGGTGAGGGACAGGGAGCCAACGCTGCCATCTCAGCCAAGGCAGCGACTGCTGCCACTGCGGCCACGAGTGTCACCACCGGCACGACAGCCAGGGCAGCCAAGGCAGCCAACAATGTCACTGCTGCCACTGCTGCCACCACTGGAACAACAGCCAAGGCAGCCAACACTGCCATCGCTGCCACCACTGCCAAGACAGTCATCGCTGCCACTGCTGCCACCACTGCCAGGGCAGCCAAGGCAGCCACCACTGTCATCGCTGCCACCACTGGCAGCACTGCCACGGCAGCCAACGCTGCCACCACTGACACGGCTGCCACGGCAGCCACAGGAGACAAGGAAGATGGAGATTTCTGAGGAGGAAAGGAAGATGGAGAGGGACGAGAACAGGAAGATGGAGAGGGACAAAAGCAGGAAGATGGAGATGGATAAGCCATGGCTGCCACCACTGCCATGGCAGACAAGGAAACAACAACTGCCACCACTGACAGCACTGCCACTGGTTCCACCGCAGCCACAGCCGCCACTGCCACCACTGCTCAAGCTGCCACAGCTGCCAGCACTGGCACAGGTGCCTCAGCTCCCACGGCTGCCACCACTACCCCAGCAGCCACCGCTACCACCAGTGCCACGGCAGCCCCCAGTGCCAGCTCTGCCCTGCCCAGAGAGCCCCAGGGACACCGTGAGCCGGGGCACAGAGCTGGGCAGCGCAGGGCACACGGGGCCACGGGCCCGCAGCCCCTCTCCCCGGCTGCCCCCACGGCCCGAGAGCCCCGTGCCCGGGCTGCTCTTGCCCCCCAGCACGGGGGCACAGGAGGCCCCAGCCCGGCCCGCGCTCGCTGCCGACGCCAGCTGGGAGCCTCTTCCTCTGCCGGCAGCTCCCTCGGCCGCTCCTGCCAGCCAGCACAGCCAACCCGGCACGGCACCGCTGCAGCACCAGCCTGGCACAGAGCTCAGCCTCGTCTCAGACACGGAGCTGCTGCAGGAGCTGCACAGGAGGGGCCTGCTCCGTGCTGCCACAGACCTCAGCCTTGTCTCGGACACGGAGCTGCTGCAGGAGCTGAACAGGAGGCTCCTGCTCCGTGCTGGCACCACAGAGGCCCCACTCCCGGCAGCCGGCCCGCCGCTCCTGGGGGGCATTACAAGCCAAGGACAGTCCCAGCAGGAAGACGACAAAGAGCTGTGCCAAGGGACAGATGGCCTTGGCAACCAAGTGTCCCAAGGGGAAGATGTCCAGTCGGAAGGGGACTCCAATGTCCAAGAGCTCTCCCAACTGGAAGAGGACATTGGCGAGCCAGTGTCCCGACAGGAAGAGGACATTTTAAAACCTCTGTCCCCACAGGAAGAGGACACTGGAAAACCACTGTCCCCACAGGAAGAGGACATTTTAAAACCACTGTCCCCAGCAGAAGAAAACCCTGTCCCGTGCGGCCCCACTGACTCGTCACAGCTGGAGCACCACGGGACTGGGAAGGAGCCGGACGTGGAGTCTCAGCTGGAGCACCCACAGAGGCGGCCCAGGAGTGGCGTGTTTGGAGGAATGAAAAGAATAAGGAACTGGTTCCACAAGTCCAAGAGCCAAGGACTCACCCAAGAGAAAGCAGACCAAGAGGAACGGCCGTGCCAAGGGCCGGTGGAGAACGACCAGGCCAAGGAGCTTTCTCAAGGGCAAGACAACAGAGTCCAGGGGCTGTCCCAAGGGCACGATGACAAACCCTTGGGCCCGGACAGTGACGACGACCCCCTGGAGGGGCCCAGCTCTCTCTACATCCCGAGCAAGTCCCAGCGGCCTCTCTCTTCCAAGCAACCAAAGGCAGACACTTCTCCATCCACCAGTGAGGAGCAGACCCCAGCAAGGTCCCGCAGCTCCTCCCAGGGCAGCCAAGTTCTGCAGGACACAGTCCAGCCCCTCATCCACGACATCCTGAGCAAGGCTGTGCTGGAGGTGGACACTTCATCCATCAATGAGTCCTACACCCCAGCAGGGTCCCGGAACCCCTCCCAGGGCAGCCAAGATCTGTGGGACACAGTTCAGAAATTAATCCAGCACGTCCTGAGCAAGGCTGCGCTGGAGGTGCAGAGGTGTCCCCAGCAGCCACAGGAGCAGCACAAGCTGGGACAAAGCCCGGCTGCAGACGTGAAACCAGCAGTTGCAGCCCAGGCCGTGTCCCCAGGGGCAGAGGGCAGGGAAGCCCCCAGGGCTGTCCCCGGGAAACGTCCCTCCCTGTTGAGGCGCGCGCTCCGCGCTGTGCACAGGCTGTTCCGCTGGCCCCGCAGGCCGGCACAGCCGCACCATTAGGCCCCGCTCCAGCGCCAGGCCCGGCCCAGACAGCGCAGGGCGGGCAGCGCTTTGCCGGGACCGACATCTCCCGCAGACCAGCACAGCACGGAACAGCACGGGCGCCGCAACGAGGCCAAGAAGTGGCCACAGACTGGAGGGGGATCGAGAGCCCCAGAGACCCCCAGACCTCAGACCTGTTTCCAGAAAGGTCTGAAAGAACAGCCTGTGCATGGGAACTCTTTGGCACAGAAGACAGAAAGGCACCTTCCGCGGGGAACCCTGTCCCTGCAAAGGTACCCCCAGCAAGCCCAGCAGCCTGGACATCCCTCCAGCTGCATCCACGCTGGACACCGGACTGACCCCTTGCACAGGATGGCGGCGTCACCCATTCTCAGAGGAAGGTAGGAGACTGTGCTGAATGTCCCCTCCAAGAGCTGTAGGAACAGTCCCTTGACAAGGTCCCAGTGTGCCAGTATCGAAAATCAATTTAATTATGGCCTTTTGTGTGTATAGTGTATGGCCAGTCTTCGTGAGCGAAGATTTGGGAAAGGTCTTTACCCTTCGAGCCTGCGCAATGGATTTTTTAGGTGAGACACAGTGTGCTCTGAACTGAGCCCACCCTTTAATCCTGAGGTTCATCTGCCGGGGCCGAGCAAGCTTGGACAGTGGCAGTGAGGTCCTCAGGACGTAGGTTTGTTTAGAGTGACCTTCTCTTAGACGGATGGCTTTACAGGGCTGACGAGCTCCATCTGCCCAGGGGAGTTTCCCCGACCAGGAATCAAACCCGGGCCACGGCAGTGAGAGTGCTGCATCCTGACCACTAGACCACCAGGGGTCCCCACGGCCTTTTGTAGTGCTGAACAAAACAGCTCCCTTTAGGGTTCCTTTCTCTGGCCTCCTGGTGTCCGGCTGGGTGTGCTTGGAGAGCACAAACCGATGCCCTTGTTTGTGGTTCCCTTCAGCTTTGCCCCAGGTTCCCGCAGACCGAGGGCACCACTCAGTCACCCCTGGCCCTTCAGTGCACTTGCAGAACTCACAGGTACTTGGTGGAGCAAGAGCTTGTCATGTTTGCTTCCCTTCCCTTGCCCAGAGAATTCACCCAGCCAAAGCCAACAGGAGTTTTTCCTGCAGGGAAGGCCAGAGCTGCCACCAAGGAGGGAAGCAGAGCCCCGTGGCTGTGGGAAGGACTGACCCTTTGCAGGCTGACAACATGGTAAGTGGGTGCAGCTGTTTGAACAGCCCAAACCTTTCCCAACTGTCACCTGGACCTGGATGCCCTCTTTTGTTGAGGCTGCAATCCCTTGGATGAAGTTGTCCCTGCGGATACAATTGGTACTTCATGTTCCTAGGAAGGACCCTCCCCAGCTGGGCAAGCTTTGTGCAGCCGTGGTTTCTGTTGCACTGGGGGCAGCTCTTTCCCATCCTGTCCAGAGCAAGGAGAGTCTAAAGCACTTTGGAGCTCCCTCGGGGAGAGCCAGCCCGTGGCTGGGAGAAAGTAAATATTGCACCAGCTGCTTTGGGGGCAGCAAAGGAAACCAGAGCCCTGTCTTGGCTGCATTTCCATTCTCACGCCTCAGCCACTCGCCTCCACCTACAGTGTTTGCCTCTGTGGGGCTGTAAGAACAATCAACCCACAAGAGCTGTGGAACTGGCTGTTGGCTTTGGGGGAGGGTCACCGGGTCGGGAGGCAGCTGCTTCATCGTAACATTGGGACTGGAGTCAGCGTGGAACACAGACTCTCTGGCAGCTGAAGCACTTCAAACTATGTTCCCACTTCAACTGTTTGGGTTTTGCTTCAAATATCCCAGCCTTTTCCCCTTCTTTCCCTGCAGACAATGCCATGACCCGGATGGGAGTGCAGAGCAGGTCTGGCCTGACAGGACAGTCATCCACGACCACATCAGCCTGACATTCCCTGATGATGGCAACGGGATGAACTTGGAGCAGCTGCACAAAATACTAAGGTGGAGAACCCCTCTCTGTAGGAATTCCAGCTCCTCCTTCTGTTACTGCTCAGCTCATTCCTTTTTGTCTGATGGAATTCCCTCCTTTGGGTCAGGAACTCAACATTTCTGAAGGGCAGGGAGAATTCACGGGAGACTCCAGAGCGTACAAATGCTCTGGAAACTTCCACACAACTTTGTCACGGAACTTTGATCTCCTCATTTCCTTGGATCCTTTCTCTCAGCCTTCCCGTTTAACTTGCCAGGCACTGTGCAACCTCTCTGGAGTGCCCATTAGTGGAGAGAAAGAGAATTCATATGGTTGTGACTGTCTTTACTTTCAGTTGGCAACCAAGAGAAGAGACAGACTCGGCTCCAATCCTTTGGAGTATTGATAAGAGAAGGTATTGTGGGAAATGATCCTGTGCCTTTTCTGTTTCTCCTGCCATAGTCGGTAGGGTTTGGACTGATCTCTCTTTTATTTCTCCAGGTAGCAGAGAGGTTTCTTTCCCCTTTAGTGGAGAAGATAGTGTATAGACCCCCTTATTAGAGAAGATAGTGTACAGACCCCATTATTAGAGAAGATTGTGTACAGACCCCCTTAGTAGAGAAGATTGTGTATAGACCCCCTTAGTAGAGAAGATTGCTCTGCCTGCAGCTGTACCCGTGGACAAGCTTGGATTCCACCAGTTCCGTTCACAGCAAGTGAGTCCACACTTGTGTGTATTTCTCCTGCTGATCTACTCGCCCCCCTGGGATTGTTTCCAGCATTTTCTCGCCTGCACTTGGATGTTGATGCTTTTGCATCTCTTTAAACAGTGCAGCTGTGGCAGTTCCCTGCTTAGAGTGAAGCTGGAATTCGTTGGCACTGGAGCACATTGTCCCAGGAAGCGCCTACTCCCTGCCAGGACGTAGGAGATGCTTTTCCATTGGCCTTGGGTTTGGGAGCTGGAGGGTTTGTGGGTGTTGTTTTAAAATCAGGTCTGTTTTGTGGGCTTTTGCAGTATTTGGTACCCGAAGCCGAGCACACAGATCGTCCTGGGAGGACAAAGAGCCAAAACACAGCTGGTTTCCAAAGGTCTGGCCTCCACTGAGTGTGACACAGACAGTTGCAAAATCCTGATTTCCAGCACTTGCTGGATCCTGAGCCAGTTGGTGTGACTGGGCAGGTGTGGGTCTGGGTCCTGTCTTTGGGAATGCTAATTGGTCAGGCTTGATGACCCTCTGGGTTTGTCTCCTTCCTTTTTCTTCCCTTCCCAACTGCAAACAGGAACGTTTTTCCCATTCCACAGATCCGTACCAGTCAGTGGGACTGACCAGGCTGGTTCCTGTCACTTCCTGTCCCAGCAATCAGGTTTGTCTCTCTGCTCCTTTTGGGGCTGCTTTGACCATGTGCCCGTAGAGGAGGAGACACTCTCTTCCCATGAGCCCTAACACTTGCTTTTCCTGGGGGTTTAGAAATTGAGGATACTGACTTGCAAACTGAAACTGGAGATAATCCTTCAGCACACATGGATTTAGGTTCTTTCCCAATGGGAGAGTGTGATGTGTTGTGTGAGGAATCATCATGGAATATGTTCCCTGTGTACTGACCACATTCCATGCAGGAAGCAGCAACTGCATTTCCCCCTGTAAGTTCAGTTACTGTTCCACCTTCTGTTTCCATGGGAATGTAACTTCCCCCTTTTCTCTGGTTTTCCCCCAGCTGTCTTCCCCCACACTTGTCATGTGGG